TATTTTTCTGTGGCTCATTTGGGTACTACGTTTCCACCTGTGTCCCCCTCGTTCGCGTTCCGAAAATGCTACATAGCTTGTCATTGTGCATCCTGTCAGTTCCTCTGAGAGTTATGTAGGTAGTGATCTCTATGTCTTCCCTAACTCCTCTGTCTTCCAGAGATTTGAGGTATAATTCCCGTAGCCTTATTTCGTAGATCATACCTCTCAGCTCTGGGAATAGTCTGGTGGCGTACCTCTGAATCTTTTCTAACTTTGACTTGTGTTTAACTAGGTATTGACTCCTGGCTGGAGCTGCATACTCCAGGATTGGTCTGACATATGGGGTAGACAAGGTTCTGAATGACTTTTACAGAAGTTTCTAATAGTAGTTCTAATGTTAGCCAATCTAGCATACGCCGCTGGTGATATCCTTTTGATGTGGGCTTCTGGGGGACAGGTTTGGTGTGATATCAACCCCCAGATCTTTCTACTTGACTCTTGCAGGATTTCATCTCCCAGATGGTATATTGTGTTCGGCCTTTTGCTCCCTTCACTTAATTTCTTTACTTTACACTTAAGTTAAATTTTAGTATCCATTTTCTAGACCATTCCTCCAGCTTGTCCAGGTCATCTTGTAATCTCCGTCTTCCTCTGTCTTGATTCTTATCATATTTTTTTCATCAGCAAACATTGAGAGGAATGAGTCTGGAAGATCGTTTTCATATATCAGAAACAGGATGGGTCCAAGTATAGAGCCCCGTGGGACCATCCATCTATTCATCTATCCATCCATCTATCTTTCCATCCATCTGTTTATCCGTCTATCTATCCATTCAAGATTCAATCAGGAATGAATCAACCTATTTCATCTTGAGCAACTATGAAAAAAGGTGGAATTGGACAGTTCCACCATCTCAACAGAGACATCCCAGAAGACATGAGAGGCTCGCTCTCCCAGAAGAGTTGGGAAGAAATTTAGACATATTTATCCCCATCAAATGGAAAATAAAAATGAAAAGCTAAAGAAAGCTAAAAGCTAAAGCTATTACAAACGCAATAATCTGGGTACAACAGACTGTGGGAGGGAGTGGGAGTGTGGGCGGGGAGTGAGAGTGTGGGCGAGGAGAGTGTGGGCGGAGAGTGAGAGTGTGTGCTGGGAGTGAGAGCAGATGCCTCTTGACAAAGATGCTTCCTTGAGGCATGATCACCTCCTCAAGCTGAGAGCCAAGGAGAGGTTTTATGGCCCAAGCTGTTCCTGTGAGAACCGTTACTCAGCCAATGGGGGACGCTGCCCCCCACCCCCACATGGTCCTGGGGGTTTTATGTGACTCACAGGGGGGGGGGGTTTATGTGACTCACATGTGAGGTTTATGTGACACTGTTGAAGGTTATGTGATTCACATTTACTGTTTTCCTGATCCTCATTTGGGCGAAGGAAATCATTGAAATCCTTCACTGCTTCATTTTATCTTCACTGTATCTTCATTGTATCTTCACTGCTTGAAATCTACTGAACACGATAGATTTCAGCAGTGAAGATTCACATAAACAAAAGGTAACAATTTGACTAGTTTAGATTTAGGAGAGACTTGAGTAAATATTAGTTCGGTAACAGGGTTGTTGATTTGTCGAACCAATTACCGCGTAACTCAGAAAACTCGAGATGTTTCTCGAATTCAGACGCGAAATTGGTGTGTGTGTGTGTAATTACCTAAGTGTAATTACCTAAGTGTAGTTACAGGATGAGAGCTACGCTCGTGGTGTCCCGTCTTCCCAGCACTCTTTGTCATACAACGCTTTGAAACTACTGACGGTCTTGGCCTCCACCACCTTCTCACTTAACTTGTTCCAACCGTCTACCACTCTATTTGTGTGTGTGTGTGTGTGTGTGTGTGTGTGTGTGTGTGTGTGTGTGTGTGTGTGTGTGTGTGTGTGTGTGTGTGTGTGTGAGAGTGTGTGTGTATATATATAATATGTTGTACCTAGTAGCCAGAATGCAGTACTCAGCCTACTATGCAAGGCCCGATTTGTCTAGTACGCCAAGTTTTCCTTTTTTTTTTAATTTTCAATTTTTTTTCTTATGGAATGATAAATCTATCCATTTCATTATGTATGAGTTAAGTTTTTTAATTCGAGTTAAAACTAACGTAGATATATGACAGAACCTAACCAACCCTACCTAACCTAACCTAACCTAACCTATCTTAACCTAACCTAAACTAACAGAACTAAGTCAATATTTTATGTTCTTAATATATTACAATAATAATATTTCAAATAAACCTATCGGAAAAAATATATTGAAAATAAACTCACTCGGCCTATTAGGCAAATCGGGCCTTGCATAGTAGGCCGATAAGTGCGTTGTGGGTACTAGGTACGACATATATATATATAACCAACGAAAACGAAGCAATTAAAAACATATTCTACGATGGTTGAGTAGAACACACATGTGATAAACACACCAGGAACTTATTAAACTTATTTCGCAAGGACAGGAAAGTCCTCCGGCACTCCATTACACATGTTTTGTGTCTCCAAGTGAGGACACATTTGGCCTTAAATCATTGTTCGCCTTGCGAGGATTAATGTATAACAAATTTACTCCTTAATTATTTTCCGGTGTTTAATGAACCTTTTGATAGAGCGTGAGAGGCTCGTCTGCTTTGTGTAACTTGAGCAAAAAGCACCTTTGACCCTGTCCTTTCAAGTGCGTTCATGGAGACAATAAGATATATCTCACAAGGACAGAGCAGCTTAGGTAATTTCTAACCTTCCATCCTGTGCGAGGCGAATCGATTATATTTAGGGGTTTATCTTAAAGTTGGTTTAGGGCGTTGTTATTGGCAAGAAAGCATTAATTTAATATTCTTAGAGTCATATATATTCTTTTATTCTAATATATTCTTAATATAAGTAGAGTTGAGTCCGTGTTGGATACCCTTGTAAGGAGAAGTACCCCAGGCCCCTCTCTCTCTCTCTTTTGGTACCTTTGTTTGGTACCATGATGTATACATATGGTAGTGACACCTAACAGGCGTGATGTGCACACACACACACACACACACACACACACACACACACACACACACACACACATACCAGTGCGTGATACCATACAATCAACATACCAGTTGATTGACAGTTGAGAGGCGGGACCA